AAGTCGAGGGAGAAAAGAACATTTGGGCCCTCGCAACTGGCGTGTGCTGAACGGCCCACGGCGCTGCCAAACAGCCCTGCCCTGTTGGATTGTTCCCTTGGGCGCGTTTGCTGAACGGCGTCGCTCTCTCCGTAGCCATTTTGGATCAAGTAAACCATTTCCTCGAGGCGGTGCAAAGACCAGTTTCTTTGACGGCCCCCACAGGAGGCCGCACCAGGCCGGGGGGCCGTCTGTCTTTCCCTTCCCTCGAGCTGCGACCTGCAGCCGTAGGGGCTCATCATTCACGATTCTCACTTTCCAACCAGGCACCAGCAGCCAAGGTCAGCGGCCCTCCGAGGCGACGGGAGGTTTCGGTCCCAGGCCGTTTTCACTAAGAGGAGGTTCACTAAAGAGAGGTTTGTCCACCGCCGAAAGAACCTTTTGTGGTTCCCTTCGAAATGTTCTTGGATCATTTCCGGTTGGGACTGTCTTGCTTTATCACATCGGTTCTTTGTTCTAAGAACATTGCATTTGTTCTTAGAGCATGTTTGGGTTCCAAGAATAATTCGTGGTATGACTATAGGAATGCTTGGACGGTCGGTCCCTGCTCAACAGTTTCTATGTGGATCACTACGGGCACTTTGCTGGCAGATGAGCCCTTTGCAATGCGCCGCGTGGCCCTTCTCGTGGCGCCAACATAGCTGAGCGGATTGCGCTCGGAACACATTGGGATGGCCCAGATTGTCCTGGAGGATGTCGCTCCGGATTTCGAAGTGAATTTCGTGCGGATTTTTGTTTTGGCCAGGATTGAAGACTACAAGACAATCCACGTGAGATTCACTTTGTTCTTCGCTCGCCGTTTCGGGGTCTTGCCGTTGGCAGAAAGCCACGCAAGAAGTCCGCTGCAGCACGTCTGCCAGGTTGGCGCAGTGACCCTTCACTCCCAGAGGCAGCGCCCACCCGTGTGCGCCGCTGCGGTCAGAAGAGATATGAAGGCAGCGCCCTGAGCGTTGGCCTGACCGACCCCGTGCGCCGCCGCAGGGCGGCTTCTTTGAGAGCGTTCGGGGGAAGACAGAACCCCCAACAGTGACACGTCGATTAGTGAATTGTCCGTCTCCGGTTCTCGAGAGGGCGCCGTGGCCGTTCTTTTCCAGGCTTGCGCCCGCCAGGTTTGGGCCTCAGGTCGTTTTCACTGAACCACGTCCCGAATCGCGCCCCGGAGGACCTCCGCCGGCTGGGGGAGGCCCTGCGGCGCAGGCGGGGCGGCACGGTGGTCCACCTCGCCGAGGCGAGCTTCGGGCGCACCACCGACGGCGTCGCCGCGGGCGGCCGCCGCCTCGCCGAGGAGGTGCCCCGACGACGCCGACGACGACGACGACGACGACGACGACGACGACGACGACGACGACGACGACGACGGCGACGGCGACGACGACGACGACGACGACGGCGGCGACGACGACGACGGCGGCGGCGACGACGACGACGGCGGCGGCGGCGACGACGGCGGCGGCGGCGGCGGCGATGGTTCATTTGGTGGGGGGGTTCTCGCCTCAAGTGGCACTGGGGACAGATTTTGACTGGACTTTGAGGACGACGATGAAGGTCCGTGAACGCGCTGAGTTCCCAGGTCGGTGTCGGATCATCCTCGCAACCCTCCTCCTCCTCTTCCTCGTAACCTCCCTCCTCTTCGTAACCGTCCTCCTCCTCCTCCTCCTCCTCCTCCTCCTCCTCCTCCTCCTCCTCCTCCTCGTAGCCATCCTCGTCGTCCTGATCCGCATCCCTGCGACCCCTCGCTCCGCATCCCTCCTCCTGCATCTGCAGTGCTGCCCTGCTGCTCCTGGCGCCTGCCCTGCTCACCCGGGCGGCGTCTCCGGCTCCCGTGCCGCCACTGGCGTATGTCGTGCGCGTCGGGGAAAAGGGGGCTTCCGGCGCGCGACCCACAAAGGATTTGTGCGGTCTTCTGCAAGCGAGTGTCGATGCCCGTTTTCGATCGTGCAGACGGCGACGACCTCGACGCGGTGCCCCGCTCGTGGGCTTCGGGGCGGGCCCTCGTCGGCCGCCAGCGGCGGCAAGTTTTGGGCCTTCGGGTGGGGTCTCCGTGCCTCGCCTCGGGGGGGAAAAGCAACAGCACCACCGCCAGGGTGGCCACCTCCAGCGAGGAGGTCCACGCCTCCTCCTCCTCCTCCTCCTCCTCCTCCTCCTCCCTCTCCTCTCCTCCTCCTCCTCCTCCTCCTCCTCCTCCTCCTCCTCCTCCTCCTCCTCCTCCTCCTCCTCCTCCTCCTCCTCCCTCCTCCCTCTCCCCTCCTCCTCCTCCCCCTCCTCTCCCCCCCCTCTCCCCTTTCCTCCTCCCACCTCCCCCCTCCTCGATCTACCTCCCCGAGCTGGGAACAGGGGACGCCTCGAGCGAGGGGTGGGGGGGCCACGCCGCCGGGGGGGCCCCACCCCTGACTCCTCCCGCTGGTGGTCCTTGGTGGTGGCGGTGGTGGTGTGGCCGCTCGCCTTCGTCCCCCCTCCATGGAGGGCCCACGCCCCCCCCAGGCCCAGGAGCTCCGCGCCGAGGCCCCGGTCGGTCCCCGGTGGTGGTGGTCCCTGGCGGTGGCGCCAGGTGATCTCAGGAGCTCAGGGCCCGCCCGCCTCCCGCCCCCCCGGAGCCTTCGGTGGAGCTCTCCCCCAGGGGGCCACGGAGCGTGCGAGGGGCGGAGGGCAGAGGCAAGGAGGGGGAGAAGGGAGGGGGGGGCAGGTGAAGGAGGGGAGGAGCGCAGGACGCTGCCTCCTCGAAACGAGTGCCCAGCACCACGGGACGCTTGGGAATTGAGCGGCCAGCATCTCAGCGCCCGTCCGCCTCCCTCAGGCGATCGTAAACACGGATCAAGGGGGCGTGGATCAGCGACGGGTCCCGTTCCATGGGAAATCGCGGATTTCCGCCGCCGACCGAGGCGGCACCGGCCGCATTTGGGTGAGGGCCCCCCCCCCGATCCATGGATTTGGCGACCGCGCGCCAAATCCATGGATCGCTGATCCATGTTTGCGCGCCCCTGATGGTGGTACCCAGCGGTGGTGGTCCCAGGAGCTCCCGCTGGTCACCAGCCTGAAACATGTCCCCATCCCCATCCCTATGATTGGCGCTTCTTTTTTTCGGTGCCTATCTTAAGACTTCCCGCAATTTCGGACATCGCGCCCCTCAGATTCTCGTCGCCTTGCCTTTCTCGGGCCGGGCGAAAGGGGGGGATTGGGAAAGGGGGGGTTGCGAAATTTGCTGCATGCAGCTGGTTTCGGCTTCACCGAGGGGCCCATTCCTCGATACATGGCCGCCTCCGGCGCCTGGAGGCGCCAGGAAAATCAGCTACGTGAGCCGACTCTCAAACCCCCCTTTTGCTATTTCCCCCGCTTTCGCCCGACCCGACTTTTCCGATCTGAGGGATGGGGGCGAGTTCGATGCTGGTGACGCTGGTGGTCCCTGGTGGTCGTGGTGCCGCTTCGCCCTGCCCTCTCGCGGGTGGGCCGCGGGCGCTTCGGCCTCGCCTCGTGCTGCGCGCTTCGGCCACGCCGAGGTAAGTGGCGTCGCGGGCGTTGGTGCTCCCTGGCGTGAAGTCCCTCCACGGGCGGAAGAAACAACAATAGTGAAAACATGCCCTGGGGACGACATTTCCGGTATTTCTGTGGACCACTCTGGAATACGTCCTGACCCTCGTTTAGTTTTTGCGTCCAGAAAATTCCCCTGTGGGAGGACAGGCCCGACTTGTACCCCTGGCGGCGGTGCTCCCGCCGGGTGGCCGGCGGTGCCGCTTCGCCGTGCCTGCGCTCCCACGGGGTGGGGCCGTGGTCGTCGCCTCGAAGGCCGGGAGGGAGGAGGAGGAGGAGGAGGAGGAGGAGGAGGAGGAGGAGGAGGGAGAGGAAGGAGGAGGAGGAGGAGGAGGAGGAGGAGGAGGAGGAGGGAGAGGAAGGAGGAGGACGACCAAGGAGGAGGAGGAGGAGGAGGAGGAGGAGGAGGAGGAGGAGGAGCCGCGCCGGGCGCGCGCCTCGCTCGGCCGGCTTCTTCTTCCTGCGCGCGCGGCGGCGGCCGCGCCGAGGTGCGGGCCGTCGTGGGCGCCTGCCCCGTGGGCCTCGAGGAGATCAGCTTCGTCCCGAGGCACCGAGCACGGCACGGGCACGAGTCGGGGGAGGGCAGAACCCCCAACAGTGACACGTCGATTAGTGAATTGTCCGTCTTCGGTTCTCGAGAGGGCGCCGTGGCCGTTATTTTCCAGGCTTGCGCCCGCCAGATTGGGCCTCAGGTCGTTTTCACTAAACCACGTTTTACTAAAGGGAGGTCTGTCCACCCCCGAACGAGCTGTGGAAGGGCCTGTTTGGCGGAGGGCTCTTCGGCGAGGGGGCGGGGGGCCGGAGGGAGGGGGGGCGGGCGAGGAGGAGGACGAGCCCTCGGCAGATGGGCGAGAGAGGGGGGGAGGTGGGCGAGGAGGGAGAGAGCAACGGAGGGGAGGCGGGGGAGCGTCGGGGAACAGGCAACGACGTGAGGGTTGGATGCTTTTGTTGGCAAACCTGCGGGAGAAGCCCGAAAGCCATTGAGAGTTCCAGGATCGTGGCCACAGTCCTGGGACGCGACCTTGATGCGTGTGCTCGGGCTGAAGTGCAGAGACTACTTCGCCATGGTGGGTGAGGCCCATCACAAAGGCTCGAGTACATAAACTTTCGGAGGGCCGCGCGGCTTTCTCGGACCGGCACTGGAGCCCCCCTGGTGGCGCCTCAGGTGCCGCCCCTGGCGCGCTCCGCGCGCCGGGGGCGGCACGCCGATGCCAGAAATCCGCGTAGACCTCCGAGAAGCCATGCTCCGCCAGAGGAATATCTCCAGAGACGCCCTGCAAGGGGGTATGCTTGGGTCTCAAAGGGAGGGTGGCGGCGTGTAAGTCACCACTGGGAGCCAGCGACTTTATACGCTGCCGCCCTCCCTGAAGGTAAGTTCAGATCTCGTCAGAGTGTTTCTGTGTATGCATCTATATATTAATTACATACACAAATATGTAGATTCGTGGCGTGCATGCTCGTGCCGTGTTTTGTCCCTCCACCGTCGGCAACAGCCTGGGCGGCCTCTACACCCGGCGGGCTATCGGCGAGCTGTGGCAGCCGGGCGACGGCTTGCTCTGCGGCCTCCGCCCGGCGTCCTTCGTGACGATCGGCTGCCCGCATCTGGGCGTGCGACGGCCTCGGGGGATGACGGAAAAGGAAACAACCCAAACCTCAGTATCGTTTATCCGATCTCCATCCCCATCCCCATCACCTTCAAGGCCCCCACCAAAGTACCACCCCAGCTGGAGATGCGTCCCTCGAATCCCGAAGGGAACGACCTACATCCCCATCTAGGGGGGTAAATCGGCCAGTGTGGCCCAGGCCACGCCGCTGGGGATGGGGATCGGCTCAGCGAGACTCAAAGCCGGAACAGACAACGATCACCCCAGTCAAAACAAGCAGCGGACACACGAGAGCTTCGAAACACAAGACAGCTGCGTACACATGTCAACGTGCGGAAGTCCGCGCGGATTCTTGGATCGGCGTTGGACCGCCCCTCCCTGGCTGCGTGGAGCGCGCCGGGGCGGCACCGGAGGCGCCGCCAGGTGGGGCCCAGCACCGTTCGACACACTCCGCGCGGACCTCCGAGTGCTCATGCTTACGTTCAGGAGGCGACATGCGAACCCCACCCCACCATCCCACGATTTCTAAGGGGGCAGGTTGGGTTCACTTCGAGCGGAATGAACTCCGCCTCCCCCCTTAGAGATCGTGGGGTGGTGGGGGTAGAGTTCGCATGTGGCCTCCTAGTGCTGTTGTTAGCTTCTTCTGTAGCCGTCAGCACTCAGACCTCTGGGCGACGCGGGGTGTGGGGCGAAGGTACGGGCAATATTCGTATCTCATCCACTGCGTCTTGGGCTTTCTGGGAACGTGCGCCAAAAGGCTGAGGCGCAGTCCATACAGGCACAAGTCTAGCCTCTAGGGGGCAGATGTTGATCCATATCCACTGCGCCTCTGGGTTCTGAGGAAGGGAACCCGATACCCCAAGACGCAGTGGATAGTGTTAGCCTTGAGGCCGGGGTCGATGCAAACGGGTTTCAGCCAGAGCGCCAGATCTTGTAGGACCCTGCAGAGCACAGGCTTGCGTTGACCTGGGCTTGCGCGCAGGGTCTTGCAAGACGCTGGCGGCTGGCGCGTTCCGCGTGTCGCTCGGACGTGTGCATGTTGTGCGTCTGTGCGTGTGTGTGTGTGCTTGTGCTTTTGTGTGTGTGTGAGTGAGTGAGTGAGTGAGTGAGTGAGTGAGTGAGTGAGTGAGTGAGTGTGTGAGTGCGCGCGTGTGTGTGTGTGTGTGTGTGTGTGTGTCTGTGTGTCTGTGTGTGTACGTTTGCGTGTGTGCGCGTGGCGATCCAAAGCGGTCCCGATTAAGGGCGTGTGCGGCGATCCAAAGCGATCCTGGTTCAGGGCGTGTGCGGCGATCCAAAGCGGTCCCGATTGATGGCGTGTGCGGCGATCCAGAGCGATCCTGCCTGAGGGCCCGGCCGCGCGCGCCCGTTGCCACCCGTACGACTTACTTCGCCTCGTCGCTGCGCGCGAGGCCGCGACCGCCAAAATTGTGTGTGTGTGTGCGTGTGTGTGTGTGTGTGTGTGTGTGTGTGTGTGTGTGTGTGTGTGTGTGTGTGTGTGTGTGCGTGTCTGTACTTCGCAATGCGGGCACTTGGCTTGCTCGAGCGCGCGTGCGGATTGCCTCTGCCGCGTTGCGAGTGTAAGTGGTGTGTGTAAGTCTGTGTGTGTGTCTGTGTTTGTGTCTGTGTTTGTGTATGTATATGTGTTAGTCTGTGTTTGTGTCTGTGTGTGTGTCTGTGTGTGTCTGTGTCTGTGTCTGTGTCGGTGTCTGCGTCTGTGTCTGTGTCTGTGTCGGTGTGTTTGTAACTCTCCTGTTCCCCGTTGCTGCCCAGGCCTGTCTCCTCCCTTACCCTCCCCTGCGTCCGCCCCCATCCCCGCCGGCACCCTGCTGCCGCTCTCCCAGTCTTTTTTGATCACAGCGATCGCCACGACGTTGGGCACGGGGCCGCCGAGGTAAAAGTGTGAGTGTGTGTGTGTGTGTTCGTGTGTGTGTTTTCGTGTGTGTGTGTGTTGCTGTGCGTTCGTTCATGGATCCACTCGCTGTCTTTGGGCTCGTGTCGGCGGCGAGCCCGGGGGGCAGCGGGAAGGGGCGGGCCTTTTCAGAAGGCTCGGAAGTCCCGTGGACTTCTGAGAAGTTGCCCAAGCCTTCCCCGAAGACTCCGAAGGCGCGAGGGCTTCTGAGAAGTCCTGCCCCTTTCCGAGAAGGCCTTCTCCTTCTCACTTCCCCCCCTCGTTCTCCACACGCTCTCTTAGGACTCGTGCTTGCCACGTCTGTGCATGTGTGACGACTTCGAGGTCCTCCAGCAACCCCTGCGGACAAACAAGAACACACGCACACGCGAGAAAGCCACATTCGATCGACGGCAGGCTGTTTCCCTCCCCCCAGGTTCACCTACATCCCGCTCCCTAGCTTCCTCCAGCAGCTCGCGCCGCTGGTCGTCGGCGACACGGGGGCAGACCTGTTCCTCCTGGGCCCCGACCGGTTGCTGCCGCGCATGACGCGGCCGCGCAGCCGCTGCATGGGGGCCCTCCGGGCCTTCCGGCGGCGCGGGCTGTACGCCAACCTGTGGGGGGACTTCATGGTCCCTCGGCGCGAGGGAAATCTGTGGGAGGCCACATGCGAACCCTACCCCACCACCCTACGATTTCTTGGGGAGGGGCTCACTCCGCCGAATGTGTCGTGGTCGTCGTCGGCGTCGGGGTGGCTGTCTTCGCCGTCGCCTCCCCTCGAAAAGATTGACCCCGGGACCCGTCCAGGGGCAACTTTCAAGTCAAGTCAAGCCACCCCGCTCGCGCGAGGGTTGGCCCACCAAGGGCGCGAGGGATGATTGCGTAACCCTCTGCCCCGGATAATAAAACCCCCCCTTCACCCCCTCCAGCATTTTTATCCAACGTCGCTCGGATTTAATTGCGGAGAGGGCGCGGAGGCCGAATTTGATAGTCCCCGGGGGAAGTTGCGAATCGAAGTTGTGATCATCTCATGTTGATTAGCAACAGCATCAAAAACGCTGAGCGTGGCATTGGCGGTCTCAACAGTTCAGCTTCCGCAATCACGAGCGTGTGGCAGGCAGGGCTATGTGATTCTCACCGCTTCAGTTTCCCCAAGTCGCAAACGTGCGACAGGGCCATGGAATTCTCACTTTCTCAATCGTTCCCGGATCAGGAACGCGTGACAGGGCGATGAGGACCGATTGGAGCCGATCTACAAGGTCAGCTTACACGAGCGCCCAGGATCATCTTCTTCATCGGCATCGTCATCATCATGATAAAATCACCTCCGCCGGGCAAATCGTTGATTATCCCCGCCAGACCCTTGAACTTTTTTATGCCCCGGGGAATATTATCTGGGGCAATGGGTTCAACTGAAGCAAGCGCAATGGTCGCGCAAGCAGGCGGGGGGGCGGGGCAGAAAGGGAGGAAGGATGAGGGATCACCGAGCGTTTTCCATTACCCGCAAAGTGCCTACTCGCAAACGTCCGAACAAAAAACATTTCTCGATGTGCTGTATCGTAAAACCCCCGAGTAGTTACTTTGCGAGTAGTTACTTTGCGAGTAGTTACTTTTCGAGTAGTGGACCGCGCTTGCCCAAGGGAGGAGGGAGAGATAACAGAAAACACCGTGACAGTTTTTCATTCGGAGGTTCAGGAGGCCCTGTGGAAGGCCGCTGTCGAAAATCTGCTCTGCGCGACTCCGTCGTAATTACGTGCGGCTTCTCCTGCGCCGATCCGAGGTGTGCCCCGCGCGGCACACGGCGCAATTTACTTCCGCAGCCCACGACGACACCAGACGGCCCCGTGAGCGCGACCACGGCGGCGTCCAAAAATCCGAGGCTCTCTCTCTGCACCCGCGCAGCTCGGGAGGCAGGCGCGCCACGGGAGAGCTGCAGGACTCCACTAACTATTCTAAGGGATGGTTCCCTCGGCCACGTGCGAGCGCCACGGTCCGAGAAAATATGTGACGGAGCCTCTCGTGGCACACTCGCGTGTGAGCTCGAGCCAGGGTTGAGATAGTTGGCGCCCGCAGGCGGGCCCGCGATTTGCTGTAAGAGTCGCTCGAGTTCAGAGCCTGCTCTGTGCAGCGAGTCGCTGTGCAGCTCAGCTCCCAAGCGCGCCGCCGACGTGACGCTACGACCGGCTCTCGTCGCATAGCTTGGTTTTGGTTTCAAGGAGAGCTTCAATCTCTGACGTCATGTGATGCTTCACGTCCAAGTGGTGCGTTCCAGAACCACCAACGCCGGCATGCATCCCGATCGCCTGTGGGCGGCACCCCGGAGCAGAACTTGGATGCCGCAGCGGCACGTTTGTTGACTCGTCGCGGAGATTGCTTAGTAGTTGTCATGACCATTGTGCTGGCCGCATGCAGGTTCGGTCCATATCTCTGCCCAGTCGTAAAGCAGGGCGTCCAGCATCGATGTGGCTTGGCTTCTTCCGATCTTCTGGTGAGCAGAACGTAAGCCTGGGAGCGGCCACTCACCGTCGCCGAGCTCGAAATTAAGATTCGCGGCGAAATCTCTCACTCGCGCATGGCTCCCGCCCACTCCAAAGCTGGTGCGAAAACGTCCAGGATGAGTACACACCTTTGGCGAACGCCAGCATGGATTGGGAATGCATGGCTGTTGGTCCAATCGTCAAAGACTTTCTCTTCCCGGTCGCGATACGAGCGGTGTGGTGTTCAAAGCAGATCACCGCTAACACAGGATTGCCGCAAGGCCTCCATAACCCTGAGGAGGATATTCTGTCGAATGCGTTTGATAAGTCCAAGCTCACGATCAACAGTAAGCAATTCGCCGCCACTGTTGCCTGAACCACACATGTTAATGTTAATTCAGTTTGTTACGAGCGCCAGTTAGGACTTAATCAATGCTGCTCCTTTGTATTTGCGATCCGTACGCAAG